GGGGGTGCTGAGTTTGGAGCTACTGAGCCTGGGGGTGCGGAGCCCGCGGCCGCATGACCTGCTCGTGTGGCGTCTGGCGGTGCTGGGCCTGTTGGTTCTCCGGGTGCTTCGTCTCGGCGGGAGCCACTCTCTCCACAGGAGCTGCGCGAATGGTTTGCCCGGCGCTGGAGGCGTACTACTGGAGCTGGTGCTTCTTCGGCTGCTGAGGGTGCTGGTGCCGCAGGTCTCGGAGGTGCTAGTCCTACGAGTGCTACTGGAGTCGGAGCTGCTGAGGGTGTTGGCGCGGAGGCTACTGCTGTCAGTCCTGGCGGCGATCCTGCTGCGGGTGCTACTGGTGCTGCTGGAGGTACTGGAGCTGGAGGTGCTGTTGACTCTGGTACTGCCGCTAGGGGTGCTGGTGTTGTCCCTGCTGTGCCTCGAGTCGCCGCGCGGCCTCGGCCGTACTTTGTTCCGCTCCTTCAGCAGGTTCTTGGTCTTCCTCCTCCCTTAGAGTGTCCACCGCCTATCCAGTCGCAGTCACAGTTACCACCGGTCTCCCCACTGCCTTCTACTTCTCCGTACACTTGTCCTACTGGAGGTCTTGCTGAGCGTCGTGAGCCTGCGTCTCGTCCTGCGTCGCCTGTTCGTGCTGCTCGCACTAGTGGTCGCAGTTCGTGTCAGCGTCCTCCTCCTGTCCCTGGCACGCACCGGATGTCTCTGCGTCCGTCCACTGCTCCTCTGCGTGCCCCCTTGCCCTCTCCTCCTGAGTCCTCTCTTCCTGTACTTGCCGACCCTGAGTCGGACTCTCTTCGTGCTGCCAATCCTACTGTCACGCGTCTCCTTGCTACTGTCGTCACTAACCCCTCCTTTGAGTCCACTGATGCGTCTGCTCTTGTTACTGAGCTCGTCGACTTTGCTGCTCGCTGTCGTCTAGACTACGCTGCTAGTCTTGTTGCTCAGTCTGCGTCTGTCTGTCCTCCGTCCGTCGGGGGTGAGTTTGCTCTTGGCACGGACGTCCTTGAGGACAGGCAGGAGGAGTTCCAGTGTCTGGCTGCTGCTTCACCTCATCTCGTGTCCGTACTACTTACCCCTGAGGGAGACCTGGATGCACTAGACATCCCGACTCCGCGCTCTTACGCGGAGGCCGTAGAGGGTCCCTACTCCTCTCAGTGGCAGGCAGCTATGGATGCAGAGATGGCTTCCTGGAAGTCCACAGGCACCTACGTTGACGCAGTTCCCCCTCCTGGGGCGAACATCGTCAGTGGCATGTGGATCTTTAGGGTGAAGCGGCCGCCGGGCTCTCCACCTGTCTTCAAGGCGCGGTACGTGGCTCGTGGCTTCAGTCAGCGGCAGGGAGTTGACTACTTTCAGACCTTCTCTCCCACCCCGAAGATGACCACTCTTCGGGTGCTGCTACACGTAGCCGCTTAGCGTGACTACGAACTTCACTCCCTTGACTTCAGCACTGCTTTCCTGCAGGGTAGCCTGCACGAGGAGATCTAGTTGCGCCGTCCAGCTGGCTTCACTGGGACTTTCCCTCCTGGCATCCAGTGGAGCCTCCGACGGCCAGTCTACGGTCTCCGCGAGGCACCGCGCGAGTGGCACGACACACTGAGGACTACACTTGCGGCTCTTGGGTTTGCTCCCTCTAATGCTGACCCGTCGCTGTTTCTACGCACCGACACCTCTCTGCGGCCGTTCTACATCCTCGTGTACGTCGACGACTTGGTCTTTGCCACAGGTGACACTGCTGGACTCACCCACGTGAAGTCCGAGCTGCAGAAGAGACACACGTGCACTGACCTGGGTAAACTGCGCAGCTACCTTGGCTTGCAGATCACCCGGGACAGAGCACGCCGCACCATTACCCTGACTCAGTCACACATGGTGCAGCAGGTCCTTCAGCGCTTCGGCTTCACGTACTCCTCGCCTCAGGCCACTCCTCTGTCTAGTCGCCACTCGCTCTCAGCTCTGCCTTCGGATGAGTCCGTAGAGCCGAGTGGCCCGTACCCAGAGGTTGTTGGCTGCCTCATGTACCTGATGACCTGCACACGACCTGACCTTGCATACCCTCTTAGCATTCTTGCACGTTATGTTGCTCCTGGGAGACACAGACCAGAGCACATGGCTGCAGCGAAGAGGGTGTTGCGCTACTTGTGCAGTACGTCGGGCATGGGGCTAGTGCTTGGAGGGCGGAGTCCAGTGGTCCTCACTGGGCACGCGGACGCTTCTTGGGCAGACGACCAGGCTACGCACCGGTCGTTACAGGGTTACACCTTCAGCCTTGGTTCCGGCTCTGTTTCGTGGCGGGCTACCCGCTCGTCTTCTGTTCTCGGCTCCAGTTGTGAGGCTGAGATCTACGCCGGGGCCATGGCTGCACAGGAGCTTCGCTGGCTCACCTACCTGCTGACTGACCTCGGAGAGTCGCCTCGTTCTCCTCCAGTGCTGTATGAGACAACAAGGCCATGCTGGCCTTGTGTCGAGAGCAGAGACTGGAGCACAGAACGAAGCACATTGCTCTTCGCTTCTTCCTTGTTTGTGAGCTGCAGCAGCTTGGTCAATTGCGTCTTGCGTACGTGGCCTCTGAGGCCAACACTGCTGATATCTTCACCAAGGCACTTGCGCCTTGTGATCATCAGCGAATGTACTCAGCTTGGTCTTGTGCCTGTCTTGCCTCACTTGCTCACCTCTTGACCTTGCTTGTACTGTTACATATATATACACCTGCTCTTGCTTGTCTAGCTTTCTATATATATGTACTCATGCATGTGAACTGGCCTTGTGGCCTTGAACTTGTGCTCGGAATGTGTGGTGACGTTGTGATCCACCCTGAGCTTGCTTTGCTTTGCTTTGCTTGACTGGTCCTGTGACCGCTTGTTCTCCCCCACTTTGCCTATGGGGGTGTGTCAGAACATTATAGCTTATGCTTTTGTGTAGGCTGTAGTGGGGTAGCCCATATGGGTACAACCCAATTAGGGTTAGTACTTGTACCCAACTGTTTCATAGTTCATTCATTCTCGTTCTCGTTTTCTCACTTCTATACAGTGAACACTTTTTCAGAGTATTTGGATGGGAATGAACACAGACCCCTGAAAGCTTTCATGAAGAGAATTGGATGGGAGTGAACACATGCATAACCTAAAGCAAAGAGGCAGTCCACCACACCACAGCTGGGCATGAGTATGAAGCGTTTTGAAAGAGAGCATGGTTTTTAAAACCAGAATTGCCTTTGTGAGTTGTTCTTTTGAGGTTCTTGAAGGATCCAATCTCATGAACGATTGGAATGCAAAATTCCTTTCTTCTATAGATTTTAATTTTGGATTCCTACACTCGAGAACACTATTTCAGCCAGAGCCCCACGTGTTCTCACCCATTCCTCCAACTGACAACTCCTAGAGCAGTACGCGATGTGGCACCCCGCGCAGCAACGGAAGGACCCTGCACTCGTCTCCCTCCGCCCACACTCGCGATTCCCACACACCTGCTTCTGGCTCGGCAGCAGCTGGAGGTGCCGTGCAGTTATTAGTAGGGCAGACGCGTGTTGGCGCAACAGCAGTTGGTGGTGCAGCACTTGTGCTGCTGGGGTGTGCGAATGAGGTGGTTGCTGCTGTAGAGTCTCATGAATGCTTGTGCTATCTGATAGCAGCACCTCTGGGTGTTGAATGTACTGTAGGTATTGCAGCTGCTGCTGATGTTGCGGCGGCAGCTGCTGAACCTGCTGGGCTTGCTGCAGACATTGCATGTGCAATTGATACTGCATGTGCTGCACCTGCTGCAGTTGCTCACAGGCAAACCTCTCTTCCTCCTGCTTGCGCCATTGCAACAGGAAGGAGTGGATGGGGTGACGAGGCACCGGCAGCCACTGCTGCTCTTTTGCTCCTGGGGTAGGTGATTCGTGCGCTGCTGCTGCTGGAGTGGACGATTCGTGTGCTGCTGCTGACCGGGTGAATGGTTCTTGTGCTGCTGGTGAGGCGAGTGGTTCATGTGCTGCTGCTGTTGATGATGTCGGTGGCACATGTGTTGCTGCTGGCGGGATGGGTAGCAGCTGTGGTTCTTGTGTTGTTGCCAGTTGTGCGGTTGGCGGTGCTGGCGGCACCTGAGGTTTCACCTGACAGGTCACATTTCCTTGTCTCAAATCACAACCCCAAGCCCCACACAGCACCCGTTTCCTCTGCTCTTGCTGCTGCCTCACTTGCTGCTGCTGCTGCTGAGAGTTTAAGTGCAATTGCTCCCCGTGCTCCACTTGCCCCCCTCGCCACCCCTGCTGTCGTCGCAGCACTTGCAGGGCGCGCGCACGGGCGAGCAGCAAGTGGGCCATGCGCTCGTTGCTCTGCGCCCCCACACCGTGCTGCACGCAGTGCGCCAGCTCCACCAGCGATGCAATGTCGCCGCCCTGTGCTGCCCGCAGCAGCAGCTGCACTGCCGTGCGCGCAGGTGCTGGTGAGGGTGCTTGTGACGATGACGGCCGTGATAGGCTGGTGTTGTTAGCGCCACCAGGGTTACCACCACTGGTTGTGGGACGGCAGCTACTGCTGCTGATGGTGCTGCTAGTGCTGCTGGCGCTGCTGTCATCACCATTGTCCCGCATGCTGCTGCTGCTGCTGCTGCTGCTGCTGCCACTGGATATGCTGCTCCCAGCGTCAATACTATCAGGAACGGTGCTCCCAGCAGCAATATCATCAGAAGAGCTGCTTCTCATAGCTTTGTCACTGGAAGTCTGAGTAGTGGTTTCACTGTTGGCCGTGCAGCTGATTCCAGCGGCATGCCGGCGGTCGACCTGGTTACCACTGGTAACCATTTCACGATGCCTGCTGCTGTTGTCACAGCCCCTCTTGGGCATCGCATTACCACGGTTGAGCAGGAATATCGCCAGCGAATGCAGAGCTGCCACGTGTCCGTCCCTAGCTGCTCGGGTAAGGAGCGCCGAGCCTGTGTAAGGGTCGTTGAAACAGTAGGTGTAGATCTGGCCGGACACAGAGGGAAGACGCAAGGGTGGTTTCGGTTCATTAAGTGTCGTACGGTCAACACAAGTGCAAGTGCATAGTTACACAAGAAGACAGAAAGGGGAAGTTATAACGTGAGTAGTGAGAGAGAAAGCAAAGGGATAGAGAGATCAGGGACGAAGAGAGCAAGAAAACGCCGGTTGAAAGGAGTGGTGAAAGGGAGGAAAGGGGGTGGATGGGAGAGGGGGAAAAGGAGGAGGGGGTTAAGGAAGATAGAGGGAGGGACGGATAGAGAGAAGAACGGAACGGATAAAGAGACGAAGAGGGAAGGGGACAGGGAGTGGAACCCACCATGCCGAGAATGAACAAGGCCTCGCTGTTCCCAGCAGCAGCACAGCTTCTCAGAAAGTGCAGGTTGGAGTCGCTCCAGCGCTCAATGCGTGGTAGCAGCACGGAGGGAGGCAGAACGCGCAATATTGCGGGAGACATGCCGATGTCACAAAACTGGGAGCACCTGTAACGGGAATGGAGGCAGATGTATTAGAAACATAAATATACATAGATTGGCAGCAGAAATCGTTTTCTTTTTCGTTTGTTCCTCCTGAGAAACCAAGAAGGCACAACTAGAGTGTAATGAATTAAAATGTTACGTTCACGAAATTAAGTGCGAGTAACACAGAACGCGCGAGCACGTTCGCTGCTGATTCCCCATGGCCAACTGATGGATCTGGTCGGACACAGATCTGCGATCGGGTCTGTTTCTGGCGCATAAAAGGCGATTTACAGATGGACGTGCCTACACGAGGAATGGCTACACCGAGGACGTGCTCTCGCTGTCGACGATTTATTAGTAGGCATGCCGTTCCGTGCCGCGCGTTAACTCGTTCACCGAAACGGCTGGTTCACGGCTAGTTCACAAAGACGGTTCAGCTGAGACGGCTCGTCGGAGACTCTTCAAACATCCCTATTTACGGTGCGTGTCGCGCGCACCCTCGTGCCTTCCGTGCGTGTCGAAGCCCTAAGTCCCGGGGACTCTGTCGAGCAGCGTTTGAGTCACGACGTACTACGTCACGAGTGTATATGGAAGACTGTGACAACGAGCGACAAGAGCAACACGAGCGACACGAGCGGACTGAGGCGTAGACGAGGAGCGAGCTAACTGAGACGTACACGAGAAGCGTGTGGGCGTATTGGCGCGGCGAGCAGCCGGGCGACTGCAGGCAGCAGCGCAGCACCGCCTCCACCAGCTCCGCCTGCACGCGGCGATGATGACGGGAACATGGTACAGGGGAGGAGAAGAAGCAGGGGAGAGGAGGGAGGGAGAGGTGAGCGCGGAAGGGGGACAGGCGGAGAACGAGCGGCGCGGTGCTGGAGGAGGGATGGGGGGTAAAAGGGGGGTTCGTAAAGGAGAACAGTGGGAGGGGGAAGAGGAAAGTAACGGATTTGAAGCGTGAGCAAGTTACCGGCAAGCAGCACAGTTACCATCACGATGACTTACAGGAAGATCGGTAAATCCGCGCCGTCGGTTTCGGCGCTTGACGTCATGCAGTGACTCTGGCCGATCCGCCATCTGCTCGTCCACCAGCGGGAGTTCCGCTGAGTTCCCGAGGGGACCTTCTCGCGTTCAACGGCCCACTGCGCGTCTTGCGCGTCGGCGATGCGGCCGCTCGTAGTGTAAAATGTTCGAAGAGGAACAGAGCGCCTGATTTCGAGCACCAGTTGTAGTAGTAGTAGTACTAGTAAGGTGCAAACGTTACGAACAACCGTGCAAAAAGAGGGTGTCTGCGGGGTGCAGAAGGATATGTACTGCGAGACAAGCAGGCCTAGTCTGTCTGTCGCAGGCAAGCAGGCTCTCATCAACGAAACGCTGTCACCGTTGATATAACATCCGAGGGTTCTGACTCGGAAGGTCTAGCTGCGCACTAAGGTAGTAATTCGCTGCTCGCGAGGAGAGAGACGAACGCGTAAAAGGCTCAGATTGGCTCGAGAGGATAATATATTATTTGTGATATGTTCAAGCCTTGAAAGAAGGGGCCGAAGATTCAGCCGGGGTAGGAAGGTCCGATCCAGCACGGGTAGGGGAAGGCGTGTCTCGGTCGGTGGTCAGGGAGAAAAGGGCATGGCGCAGACCCGTCGCGATTGGAGACGAGGAGAAAAGGAGGACGGAAAAGTTCGGAAAAGCGCGAAAGCGCAATTGCGTGAAAATCGCACAACGTAATCATGGTGTCGGGAAGAAGAGATGTACTGGGGTCGGAAGGGAAGGGAGGAGTTGGGGGAAAGGGGAGGGGACGAACACGTGGGAAATACGGAACGACGTTCCCCCGGAAATTGGGCGGGTGGCCTATGGTGAGAGGACTCCTCGGAGCGGGACAGGTTGAACGTACTCTCCACACTCTGACACACGAGCGGGAGAAGGAAGAGAGCGTTTGCATTGGCGTACAGTATTTGTGCGGTGATGAGGGAGGGAGGCGTCAAGACAGGGGATATGGTCAGAAGCATAGCCTGCCTGTACGCTTCTTTTATCGGACCGGCCGCGACTGACGAGACGGAACGGGACTCGGGACGGGAGTGAGGGAGTCGATGTGCTATGCGTTGAGGGGAGTGAGAAAGAGAAGTGAACAGCTCAATCATGGCCATTCGCGGCGCCAAGTTGATGATGACGGTTGCGATTGCGAGGTGATGGAAGGGGCAAGGAACACGACTGGCGCACGCGCAGCACTGTAGAAAGGGCGAACGACGTCGCATGCGGCTGTGCTGAGATTCCGGCGTGTGGCCGCGGTTCGGACTGACAACGCCGAAGCGAAGTCAGCTTGTTTTTCTGTCGTGCTGGCTACGCAAATCGGAAACCAAGCTAACAACTCAGCAGAGACTAGCGTGTGTGGGAGAAATAAAGTAGGACAACCGAGAACGGGTTGGAGGAGACATAAATATGGCCCTCTAGGCAAGACCTCCAGCGGTTATGGAGCAGACACGCCACACTTTAATTTTCTCCATTCTCGGTGGAGGTACCCGGAGGATCCTACAGTATTATCCAGTCCAATCCGCGAAAGCTGCTCCGATGCGTACAGCACAGTATATGAAATGTTTGGTTCGGTTATCGACGGTCCACCAAATACTGTCCATGCCATGCCACGTCACTCAACGCGGTTTCACTTGACTTGTCAGTCTGCTTGGCACTGGAGGCGATCACCGCCAGCGAAAGAAGTTGCCATGATGCAGTGACGTGGAAATGAGGAAGAAGCATCTGTGGCTTCTTTGCTGCTGACGTACCCGTGTAACAACTGGGATGCTTCAGCTCGGATGACGTGGTACTGGTAGAGAAAGGAAAAACTTTGAAGTCGTGAGGGCTTGAAAGAACATTACTAAATACTTTGCCCAGTTTAAAGTAATGGACTGCTGTACAAGCCGTTTTGTAAATCCATATCTATCGGACTGCCCTAGATGAACTGCATTTCGTGGACAGTGCCAAAGGAACGAAGACCCAATCGGAGGCAGGCGGAGTGGAGATGAGATGATGCCCACGCTGGTCTATTCTGCACCAATGTTACGGGTGCAATGGAGTGAGCGAACGAAGATTGCACTATCTAAGCAAGAGTACAATGAGCGAAGGCATGAGCGAAGGATTATATAGCGAAATTACAGTGGTAACGGTAATGGACTGTGGGTGCCGCGTGACGGGCCTGGGACTGAGGTTGGGAAAAGTGTCGAGGCGGTGGTCCGGAGCGCGGGTTACCACCGAGCCGTGAGGTCGGGGTGCGACATGTGAAAAATGGCGGGCGGATTATTGATGCGAGTGGTAACGGTGCTGACTGAGGTACTACAGTGATGTACGCGGTGAGCGGGGATGCGAAGGAAGGAAAAGGAATTTTCCTTACACTACCCCCCTCCCCAAGGAGGCCCCTCTTACGAGAGCGCATGGACGTCGCGGAAATTTCGGCTTCGCAGATACTCGGTGAAGACAGGGTGGTTTTCGATTTTATCCAGGGGGACCCAGTTGTCTTCTGTGGGCGTTCGGTCCTTCCAGCGAATTAGGAACTCGATCCTTCGGGTTCCCCGAGGGTCGCGGACTCGGTGGCTGAGGATTTTTTCGGGGGTGATGATTGGTTCGGTTGGGGGGCGTGTCATGCTGGCTGGGCGATTGCGTGGCAGTTGGCTCGTGGATGGGATGTAAGGGCGAAGTAGGCTGACGTGGAATGACGGGCTGACGTACCAGTCAGCAGGGAGGAGGAGGTGGGCGGTGACGGGTGTGATCATGTGGCTGATGCGAAATGGCCCACAATATCGGGGGCGAAGTTTTGGAGTGATGGGCAGGCGGAGGTTCTGAGTATCGAGTAGTACGAGGTCGTCTGGCTGGTAAGTGACAGGTCGGCGGTGGCGATCGGCGTTGCGCTTAGCGATGATGTTGGCCTTTTAAATTGCGTCTGCTGCCATGGTCCGTGCTGCTTGCAAAATCTCGGCGAACTGTTGTGCGCGTGGGACTGGATTGTCGGGATTTGGGGTCATGGGTACTGTTGGGTCCTGTCCGTAGTTCAGGTAAAACGGTGACTGTTGGGTCGTGGCGGAGGGCGAGTTGTTGTACGCGAATTCAATGAGTGGCAGTTGCTGTTCCCACGTGTTCGGGTCGTCGCACGTGGCCCGGATGAGCTGCTCCATGGTCTGGTTTGTCCGTTCTGTCTGTCCGTCCGTTTCGGGGTGATACGAAGAACTGAACTGTAGTCGCGTACCAAACTGCTGCCACAGGTTCCGCCAGAAGTTGCTGGTGAATTTCGTGTCGCGGTCGCTGATAATTGCCGATGGTATCCCGTGGAGGCGAACAACGGTGGTGATGAAGAGGCTGGCTGTTTCTTCGGCTGTGATTGATTTCTTGCATGCTGCGAAATGTGCCATTTTCGTCAGTCGATCGACGACAACCAGGATCGCGTCATTCCCACTCGCCCCGGCCGGTAACCCCGTGACGAAGTCCATCGTCACCTGCTGCCAAGCACGCTCTGGGGGTGGAATCGGCTGCAACTGTCCTGCCGGCCGCTTCCGTGATGATTTCATGACCTGGCAGGTGGGACACGATGCTACGTGTCGTTGGATGTCGGTCAACATTTCTGGCCAGTAATAATACCGCTGCAGCTGCTGCCGTGTTTTTTCTACCCCAAAATGTCCCGAGGTAACTCCGTCGTGTGCCTCCTGTAACAGTAATTCCCGTAGTAGTGTATACCCGGGTACCCAAATGCGGTCGGTCCCGGCTTTTACGTAATAGACCCCTCGTGCTGCTGCGAACTGCTGCGAATTGCCTCCGGTGAAGAATGGGTCTGTTTGATACCCGTGGGTAAATAGTCCTGTCAGTAGCGGGCTAGTCTGGGCGAGTAGTATTGCGTGGATTTGGGCAGTGGGGCGGGTCAGTGCGTCGGCAATGTTGGAAGCTCCCTTTTTGTAAGCGACCGTGTAATGGAAATTCGACTCGAGAAAATCGAGCCAACCGATCTGTCGTGGGTTGAGGTGGGGTTGTGCGCGGAGATACTGTAGTGATCGGTGGTCTGTCCGTACTGTCACGTCTGCGCCGGTCAAGTAACAGCGCCACACTTTGAAAGCATGCACGATCGCAAGCATTTCGCGATCGTGTATCGGGTAATTCTTCTCAGGTGGGTGCAGCTTTCGTGATTCGTATGCGATAGGCTGTAGGCCGTTCCCGAAATCCTGTAGCAGTACGGCTCCGATGGCGATGTCGCTTGCGTCAGTAATGACTTCGAATGGGCGGTGTGGGTCGGCAATGCGCAGGACAGGCGGTGAACAGAGAACATTTTTCAGGGTAGAGAAGGCAGCATGCTCTTTCTCCCCCCACGTAAAAACGACCCCCTTCCGCAGCAGATCCGTTAGTGGGGCAGTTAAGCGTGCCATGTCAGGGACGAACCGACGGACGTAATTAACAAAACCCAAAAAACTCTGCAGCTCCGTGATGTTTGTCGGGCGGTGCCAAGCCTTGACCGTATCCAGCTTCTTCGGGTCAATCTCAACCCCAGCCTCCGAAATAACGTGCCCCAAAAATTCTAACCTATCCCGAAAAAACTCGCACTTAGACCCCTTGGTCAATAAACGATGCTCCTCTAAAATTTTAAATACTGCTTCCAGGTCCGCTAAATGCTGCTGCTTATCGCGGCTGTAGGCGAGAATGTCGTCGAGGTAGACTATCACACACTTATCTAAAAGTGGTCTAAACGCCTCGTTCATGGTCATCTGGAATGTTGCGGGTGCGTTGGTATCACGGTATACTCGAACGACCCGTACCTAGTCCTAAAAGCTGTCTTGGCGCAGTCCGATGGTTCGACTCTAATCTGGTGGTAACTGTCAGAACATATAGCTTACCTGTTTCTGTAGGCTATAGTGGGGTATCCCATAGGGGGTACAACCCAAATTAGGGTTTCCTATTTGTACTCACTTCGTTCATAGTCATTTCATTCTCGTTCATATTTTCTCATGGAATCAGAGCAGGTCCCTTCCTAGGGACTGTTCCTAGGGCCCACCGAAGCGCGCCCCGAGGCGCGCGTTTTTTTTTAGCGACCCTCCGTGTCGCCCTTACCGCCGTGCTCTCGCTTAGGCCCCTCGTCGGCCCCGCTTAGGCCCCTCGTCGGCCCCGCTTAGGCCCCTCGTCGGCCCCGCTTAGGCCCCTAGTCGGCCCCGCTTAGGCCTCGTCGGCCCCACTTAGGCCCTGTCGGCCCCGCTCAGGCCTCGTCGGCCCCGCGTCGGCCCCGCTTAGGCCCCGTCGGCCCGCCTAGGCCCCGCTACGGCCCCTCGTTGGCCCCGCCTAGACCCCGTCGGCCCGCCGTAGGCCCCGCTCCAGCCCGCCGTCGGCCCCGCTATAGCCCGCCGTCGGCCCCGCTACAGCCCGCCGTCGGCCCCCAATACAGCCCGCTGCCGGCCCCGCTACAGCCCGCTGTCGGCCCCGCCCCAGCCCGCCGCCGGTCCCGCTATAGCCCGCCGTCGGCCCCACTACAGCCCGCCGCCGGCCCCGCTACAGCCCGCCGTCGGCCCCGCTACAGCCTCGCTACAGCCCCGCTACAGCCCGCCGCCGGCCCCGCTACAGCCCCGCTACGGCCCACCGTCGGCCCCGCCGCCCGTGCTGCAGCCCGCCGCGCCACCGTGCAGCCGCCCGTACAGCCACCCACCGTGCCGCCCGTGAGCAGCCCCAGCCGCCCGTGAGCCGCCCGTGCAGCCGCCCGCGCCGCCCGTGAGCCCCTGCGTCACCCGAGCCGCGCGAGCCGCCCGAGCCGCGCGAGCCGCCCGAGCCGCCCGAGCCGCCCGAGCCGCCGGTGGAGCCGCACTCCTGCTCCTGTGGGGCCACTGCTCCTCCTGGGCTGTGTTACAGTGCCGCTGACCTACCCGACTTTTCCTACCCGGTGAGACTGTCAGCTGCTATCATGGCCACCCCCATTGTCCTAGCTTTTGACGCTGAGGGTAGAGCCATTGACTTTGCAGTCTGGATTGAAGACCTGCAGCTGTACTTACTATGT